TAAAACAGCACCACCAATCATTTGGAGCAGAACCCGAAAACATAACGTTAAGAGACGCAGAGTGGCATGTGTATGGGACACATCCTAACCCTGACCACTGGAGCTATATGTAGTGCATCGTACTCACTTTACCACAGTTGTACGCGTGGACAAATCACTACACCAGCAGAGTCAAGCAAAAAGTTTTTGTCCTAACAACAAACTGTACAGATATGTGAATAGCCTCCGGAATGTAAAGCGTGCTGTTCTCGCACTTAACCCATCAAATGGATGTACTCAAACTACCAACGATGTAACCAACGTTCTACGGCTGCAATATGCTACTATATTGCGGTGCGCACTAGCATACACGATATACCTAGCCCATTCCTTCAGATGCCAATATTCCCACACGACACTTGCAGATCAGCGATTGTTTTGAGGAAACTGATATCCTTGCGCGCCGGTAGTTCCCCCGGTGTTGACACCATTTACCCAAAAGCAGTTTGTGCGGCAGCTAGGATGATAGCTTAGCCGTTAGCTCAATTTTTCCGGAGGTTCCAGGATGAACAACAAGTCCATACTTGTGGAAGCAGAGTATCATCACCCCAATATTCTAGGGCTGTAGCCGTTCGGAGCTCGTCAATTATCACCCAGTGATTCTCCTCTCGGTGCTCTCAAAGTTGCTGGGATCAATCATAGCTGAGCGCTAGTGGGCTACTTTGAAGGGTTCAACCTCATACCACAGGAACCGCACGGAGTTCGTCAGCATCAGATATGTACTACAAATCTGATTGTGCGTGGCAGGTGGACCGAAATAGGCGACGGTGGGACCGGCACTGATGTTATCTAACTCAACTTTTCTAAGGCCTTCTAACGTTTAGATCACCGAATACTTCTCCAAAAGCTACGTACGCACGGAATTAGGGACCCAAGTCTTGGGCGGAGAGTAAATTTCCTTCTTCAGCGGGAGCTTCAGGGACGACTTACCGACTCATTTTCTGACCCAATTGGTGTGGACTGCGGTGTCCCACAGTGATCGACGTTATGGCCGCACCCGTTCTGGGTCTTCGTCAACGACCGCGCGCGTGTCATCAAGTCAAATTTCCTGCTTTTTGCCGATGACATCAAGGTATGGCGGGCGAGCGATTGTCAGGCCAATCGCGAAGTACTGCAAAGAGACTTAGACCGCGCCTTTGAATGGCTAAGTCTATTTTCCTTTAACGCGGACAGGTGAAAAACTGTACATGTACACCACGATCCCACCAACGCATACAGGCTTGGAGACTACGTGATGAAAACATTTACAGGAGAATCATCGTGAGTTGGTGATGCAAGACTACCACGGCTTTTTGTCGTAGACTTTGCAGGCGTCCAAAAACACTAACCAAAGCGCTAGTCTCTTACAGAGGGCGTTCGAACGGGTCGAATCCTCCATCCTCCCCCAAATGCTCAATGCGTATGGAAAACCCCACATGGAGTACGTGATTCAGGTCTGACAACCTTGATTAAAACGTGAGCTGGTTGCACTGGATAATACGCAGCGAAGGGTAGCCCAAAAAATGTGAAGGAATTGTTCCACCTGTCATGCCACCTGCGACTGAAACTTAAGGAGTGTACAGCGGAAGATGTCCCCGTATGCTGACCGGCTTCATTCTGTGTACAAGAACTTGAAAAACCCTGGTCAGGATTGCCGCTACCTCTTGGAACTTAGCCGTAACACAAAACTGAGGGGTCGCCAACTGAAACTGGTTACGTCGGCTGGAATGCCACCGGAACCAAATTTTTCTCCCAATTCGTCCCACTGGAACGCCCTTTCGAGTTTCATCATTCCTGCGCCCACGCCGCCTGTTTTTAAAATCGACTAGACGATGCAGTGGAGCACCTACATTAGCTGCTTTGATTTATGTTCACTTAGTGACAACAGGACACAGACCAACATTGTGCTCTCCAGTGCTCATGAAATGGGCGAAAACGTATACTCAAGGGCTTAACGAGCATAACTTCACTTACATGGGATTTGTGTTTTATACTATGAATACCACTGTGAGTCCGCTGATTTAAACACGAATTTGCTGGCCATTTTCCCTAGAGTTTGAATTTTACCATGATTATTCTGCGAGACCTTTGAAACTTCAGCCTTTTCACTCGTTTAATGACGTTATACTTTGAATGGCAACTGTAAATGCTGTCAAATCGTCCGCGCGAGGTAGCACATGTAAGTGGACAGATTTCTGGCACGTACACCGTTGTCTTCTGTAAACGCGAAGTCGGTGGGCGCAAAGCACGCATCTGGTGAGTTAACCCGTCAGTATAACTTCCGTAGCCGTAGTAAGCAGTAGGCGGTGCTGATGTAACAAGCGGTCCGGCCAAACGCAGTGTGTAACCGTAGGCTAGCTGTTCCGGTGTTCAAATTGGTCTTTAGTGTTCCAAAAGCCGAGAACTAGAGAAACGGTTTCACATCATTAAGGGTATACGTAAGCTAAAAGCAGTGCCTTCCACTGGCGGTGTAATCGCTCTACCTTGTCGTTAGCGGCCGGATAATGTGTTCTGGACGGGGCGACAACCTAAGCCCTTGAGCAACGTGACAAAAGTGGAGGGGAAAGTTGACACTAGGTTGGAGAGCATAATGACGGGGCAGCCGTACTGTGCTACCCAGTGCACAAAAAATGCTTTTGCTACTGTTTTCGAGGAGCATGTCAGAATGATCATAGCTTTCGGCCACCTTATGAACTAATCACGAATAACTAGTGATGTATTCGCTAACTGATACCACCACTTTCTGGCCCGCGTACGTATGCTCAATCTCGTAAATGAATGGAGAATTTTTGTCCATTGATCGCTAACGCAGTAAGTCAGTAAATAGACGAGTCATCGCAAGAATAGACTTTCACGACAGTTGCTTTGAATGTAGTTCGTGTGGATTCGAGGTACCTCGGCAGAGGCTGATTTGCAGATAGACTTAGTGCTCTTCTTGAAATAAAACATTGGCATCGCGGCTACGAACCACTGCAATAGCTACTTATCTACTACCTCCGGACGATTTCTGGTGTGATTTCAGTGTCAATTTTACCGAAAGCGATTGGGATCAGTGGAAAACTTCTCTTACAAATTACTTGAACTCAATGCCGTCTACTGCTACTTACAATGAAAAATATTTAAAACTCCTACGTCGCCTGTTAGGCAGTGAAGGCCAGTAATACTTTGGCGCATTGGAACTACAAAAGGAGGACAGACCACGAGGGCACTAAATGTACTGGATCGATATTGGGGTGCCCGAGGCAATGCTTTTGTAGAAAGCTACAAATTCTGCCGGTTGAGACAAGTGGACTCAGAGCCACTGGAGCAATTCGTTAACCGCTTGGTCCATGCCGCGCAAATCAGCAATTACGTAATCATTTCGAAGCCTACATTTGAGAGTTATGCTGACCCCACAGTTAATAGCCGGCATCATTGATCATCGCGTACGAGCTCTACTTTCCGAAGACCATTAGAAGCTTTTCTGGAAAAGAGTCAAAGGGATCGCCTGGCTCAAAAGAGTTACCCATGCTCAACATGAGGGAAAACTTCACATCAATGAACTTCAGAATAGAGATTTCGGGCCATCTCAAAATGTGGTTGTCTTATGTTAGCGATACGAAAGTTCCCGTCACAAGGCGGATCGTCAGAGATGTGCTGTCAGCACAGATTGTAAGACTGTGGCAAAAGGAGCTATTCCGTTCGATGTTGTCACTCTCGCCGGGTAGCCTTAGTTGCCCAGCAGAGGACTGATGATCTTTCTTCATTGACAACGGAAAATATTTGTTCCGGTCAAACTGTTACATCATCCTGAAAATCGACAACCCTTTTGGACGGAGCTGAAGCTCCCCTCTCTTGACATCCGTACAGTTGTGCCTCAAGGGTGCAACACCAAGGTACCAGTTGCTATGGAACTGGATTCGGCCTCACCCACAACAAGTATCTCACCTAGCTTTCACAAGTAATCGCGCGCTTTACCATTGCATCCAACAGCGTACGGAGCGGACACACACAAAGTCCCGTGTGCATATTCATAATATACATAATGACGAAACTTAGTCTACACTCGGGCATACATGATTGCGACCATAGTAGGATACGAACCTGCGACCACGCCCAGATGCAGGTGGGTTTGCACCAAGCTGACCAGGGTCTGCTTGGCTTGAGGCGGGCAGTAGCAAACATAGAGGTGCCCTCCCACCGTCAAAGACAATGCGTAACGCTCGTGCTCTACGCCAATCGAGCTGTGAGCATATAGCCCGTAAACCTGTTGTCGCCCATGACTAGGTTTTACGGGAAGAGGGCCATCGACCAATTCCTAACCAACGATGAGGATACTGGTAGGGCACCCACACCTGACAAGAGAACGACTCGGTTGCTCAGCCAAAGCCTTCGATTAAATGTTCACCCGAACGACAGTGGGTCTAGCACATGGGCAGTTCACTGACTCATGCGGATTGGTGTTCTGGATCTTAGCAGGGAGGGCTTAACCCAACCCCCCAGCGGTCGCCACGATGAGGCGTCCAGGACATGAGCCCATAGCCCAACAGTAGCAGCAGTGGATAGACCATCTGTCAGAATCTAGCCGCCACCAGCCTCAGTGCATCATAGTCAACAAACCGATACGGTGCAAAAAAACGCCACTGACAAATTAGGTTTGAAACTACTCTCTACTTGGCTACAGTTAGGCACCCAGGTTAAAACGTCAGGTTCGAAGGTCAGTTGCTAGACTGCTTTTCGATAGTTTTGCGGAGTAGTCAACGGTGGGGACTAAAATTGTGTTATGGAGAATTACATTACAAATTCCACAGGGTTATTGGCTGCCGCTGTAGGCGAGCTGACACCCCGTGCATTCCGATGAAATGCAGTCAAGAGTATCATTCAGGCAGCCAGACATAAACGGGCAAAGATCATTTGGTTCAGGGTTTCTTGTCTGAGCAGCGGTAATGTGGCTGGATTGAGACGTGAAGTTATTTCTGCCCTTTGGTAGTGACCATTCAGGCTGCTAACTCAAAAAATACGAAAGTGTATTATGATAAGAGTTGGGTTACGACGCGAATGTTTTACTTGGGAAATGCTGCTGGCCCTGATCGATCGGCCCTATCCTCAATGCGGGAGGATGAGTCCGAAGTCAGTTAATGTTGCTAACAAAAGCAATAAGATGCACGTTTGTTTTGTACAAGGAGCAGTATTTTGCTCGGGATACAGAAAATAAGGTACACGGAAAGGACATGCGCTTGATGGCGTGCTTATTTATTAGAACATAGACTGACACCTTGGAGAACAAGTGGGGAACGGCGTAGTTTGGATAACGATCTGTTCCGACTTTGCATGAGGGTGCGCCTTGACGAATCAACTATGGGAAAGATCGGTAGGCGCGAACTGCGGTCAAGTCGGACTGAGGAGAACCCGCAATTAGTAGCAACCAAATGTTTGGCCATTTCGTTTCCTAATATAGTTCGAAATCCACAAGGACAGCGCAACAAACCGTGAAATTCCAAACCCGGAGGTGAATGTTTATGCTTGCAGCGACGCATGCGTGTAAGCAGTGAACCACACGGATCGTGTGATTTGAGGGCCACGTGATGGCGGACCTTGTGGTCAAAGTTAAGAGAACCGACCAAGGAGCTTACACAGCGCTCCCATGATGTCAGCTCTGAGGAAAGATCGGTCACAGACGAAGATGGAATGGATGGAGCTGAGTGCACATTGCACCAGTGCCAGTGCACCGCCATGCTACATGAGGAAGAAAAACGACAACCGGGACATCTCACAGTGAGATTGAAATGTCGACTAATCGGTTGCCGTAAGGTTTCACCGCACTCCAGACACTTTAGACTCATACGCGGCGTAACAGTACGTAGCTGGTTGGAGTAATACAAAAACAATTGGTTAGATGCTTCTGGTGAAGAAAGAATGTGTTCCGGACTGTCGGAATGGTTCACAACTGATGTTGCATGCGAACCGCAGTGGTGTAGGTACTCATGAACACGTAAATCTTTGCGGTGGACAAAATCCAGACGACAAGACTCGCAGCGATAAGTCAAGTCGTCCCAGTGTGACCGCACATGCTCATAGAAACGATGCGCTGTGAATGTGTTGGACTGTGATCCGACACTTGGTGTGTGCACAGGAAGTTCGAAGTACTTGAGGCAATAAGGGCAAAATATTTGGTTTGTAAATGCATGGGAAGAGTTTAAATGTGTTAGTAAATCCGAGTAGCAAGAGGTGTGGAATGTATGGCAAATACTACACACGTAAGGTGCATCCCGAAACACATGTCGCTCGTAAAGATGGACAGCAAACTTCAGTATGGAATGAAAAATCTGTTCACAAATAGGACAGACAAAATGACCATTTAGGAGAGTGGCTGGGGAATTATCTCGCACGTGCGTGTGAACTTCGCGATGCAGGCACACGGCACCACTGCCGGATAAAGAACACACACAATCGGGACAAAATTCAAAGGGCCACAAGCTTCCTGAGTAGAGTTCGTCCGTGAGAAGGTGCAGAATTAAGTGGCGAATAAGTACGCCATTCTGAAAGTGCTGATCACATACGGGACAAGCGACAAGACCAGCTTCGGCAGCAATGCCGCTACTGCACCTGGAAAGATCTTGTCCACACAGAGAGAAATAGTATGCGATCCAGGATATCCGGGTTGGGGAGGATGGAATCTTCGCAGGAATTTCTGCAGCAACGGGACTTGTTGATTGCACCACAGTAAGACTACGTCGCACGGACTGTTCTGTGGCGGACATTCAAGAATGGCCTTCATACAAAAGCTAAAATGACGGTTGAGAGAGAAGGGAAATTATGAGGTAAAAGGAGTCTGATAAAAACCTGATAGCAAGCTAGCACTGTTTTCCACTATACATGAAACAAGAAGGCCAAGAAAGTAGTAAAACAAAGAACGTGTCGGGGCACACAAAAGAAGACCAGTGCTTTAATACTCATTCATATGTAAGATGATATGGGTTTATCTAATTAGCTTAGTCAACTTTAAGAAGCCAATGCGATCCGAGTACCATATAACAAGTCACCGTGATAGAACTGTTAGCACAGCGACACGGAGTTTCGTGGGGATTCGTGGACAAACACGGATTGTTACAATATTAATGGCAACTCAACTACCGCATTTATTGCATTATTGTATACATAGGCTAACAGGAAACAGTGAATTAACGGTGTTTAATATACCGTGCACGATGCACAAGATCAACCCTATTTTTGTTGTCATCGGTTCTTGAAATGAGGCGCGCAACTCAATTTTGCGTTTGCCTACGGCCTACCTTGACGTTCATCCGTGCTACTCCACTCATGTCTCCTTTGACATCCTAACTTGTGGTAACCGACAGATTTATATTATTACAGCTATGAAGTGGCACCGCAGCTTTGCTATGTATTCACATTACAGCATTTACGGGCCAAGTAGGAGCACGGTGTAAAGATGGCGTAAAAGGCATGCTTGGTGCCATTCTCAGTGGAAGTTAGAGCTGCTGACGGCCACAACAGCCAGTGTTACCATTAACAGCTACCTGTAGGTCGACGTAATTTTTGTATCCTAACCCCTTACTGGAGACGGTGATCGTATTCATTAAGGTGTTGTTTCTTACTGGCACGTTACTTTAATAGTGTATGGTGCACAAATGTAAATGAGGTGGCTCAACTTTTTCACAAGAACGTATCCAGAAACCCAAATTCGGAAAAAGCCTAAGTTGTTTTATCCAGCACGCCTTCAAGACGCATCGTGTATGTTTGAACTTACATATATCTCTGGAAGAAACGCTGTCAAACTTGCTATTGCATATCAATTACGTGGATAAAATTAAGGGAGACGAGTTGGTGGAGCCACGCGCAACATGCTTGAGCGTTCTTTTATCTCAAAATGCTGCCGAAAATAATGCCTATGCTGGCGCTAGCTAAGCGTCAGCCTTTAGAACTACTACGTATTCCACCATACATGAAAGCACCATCTTTGGTTTAGCAGTTTAGGTACAACACCTCAACCAACTCTGGTGCGGGCAATACTAGAAAATACTGCCTGCATAAGACGCGGCACCGTTAGCATAAAGGGACTACGGAATTAAATTTACAGCGCGGTAAGCTGACAAGGTATCGCCCCTCCTGCTCTCTACTACCCCAATGAACCCAATAAGCTTTCCTTGCACAGTATGCATAATACACATCATTTTAGAAAACGGATCTTGCTCTACCGGGCTCGGAATAAGCGAGATCTCATTTTATACATATACATCGTTGCAATATAAGCTCCGTAAAAATACCCCATCCACTCCATGGCGTTGATGTACCGCTGATCCGATGGCTATACCGTATACGTTCCCTTTCGGTAACGACGGAACGCTGGTTAACGGATTATACCAAGGTCTATTTCTTAGCACTATGAGTGGACAGGGACTAATTTCCTACACTAAATGGGGTTGGAAGGGAGCGCGGAAGGCCTAACAGGGTGCGTGCTATAAGCGGAGTACAGCGTAGCAACCGAAAGATCATTAGTCTACCGCGGCGTAGGCGTTCCACTTTCGTTGGCTGTTTCACACAGATGACCTGGACAAGAAACGCACACTGATTGGTTAGAAAATCCGCGTTCCGCTGCATGGAGACTTATGATCTCATGTCCACGCCGCATATCGAACGTTCCATCGCCTGCAGTTCGTGGACAACTCATGGAGGTTTGCTAGCAGGGGATAAGCGGAAAAGTATCAGGCGGGCGATAACGAAAGCTCAAGGATGATAATCAAAGGATAGAAGGAATAAAACAGCATCGTCATGTAATAAGGCGGAGGACAAGAAGTTGAAGACCGAATAGGACAGCCTCAGTAATTCCGTGGTTGAAGCATCTCGGATAATGTCCACCCGTTGATGTGTTTGATAGTGATATGATCAATCGCATGGAGACGGCTCACACCAAACATTTCGACCCATAGGCAGAGCACGCTGAAACTTCTGTGGTAAAGATGAAACATATAGGCTTTCAGTATTTTGAGACAATGGATTTTATTATTAGTATCTTCCGATCGTTCGTTTGTTTTACTGATGGTCTATTCCGTTCAATTTCGATTTCTCTGACAGTCGTTGGCTATCTTGTTCCGCGCTGTCGCTAATCTCTTTCTATTTCCTTTCAGCTCCTTCCAATACAGGTTGGGTCAAACAATTCGCGCACGTATGAATAATCGGTGTCCATAGTTGTTCTTACTGGCTATCGTGACAACCATTGCTTGAGTTCCGCTCTACACTTCACTCGGTAAATTGTGGCGGAGGTACACAATGCACGTCACCATAGATTATATTAGTGTAGGGAGAATTCGACTTTACTAATGCGAGTGGTGTTGATCTAACGGAGGGTTGAGTGCGGTAACAAATGATGTGCTGTCAGAGACGAAGTGGTCCGGAATATGGTGTAGTGCCTTGGAGATTCCTTCGCATGACTATAAATTATGCTAAAATTATAGTTAGCATAGGTATTAGAGAATTAGGCGATTTGCTTGTTTGAATTTTGCCCTCCGCTGCGCATTTGTGGCCAATCGGACGCTACCAACTGCCTGGCGGTTGTCCTCGCACTCGACACACGTCCATATCTTCTCCTCTGGTGCCCTATTTTTAGCTTTAGCCACTTAAGCGACTGTCCAATAAATCTTTTCTAGCTTATTTTCGTGTGTTCTCCCGTGAGAACTCGGTCGGTCGCTTAGTCGTGAATTAGATATATAGCGCATAATCGACGCGCCATAATGACAGTGGCTGGCAGAGCGAGAGGGAGGGAAACCAAGAGAGCTCTGCTCCCGCTCTTCGATCAGTTATCCATATGACGAAAGTTGAAAAACCAGAAGGGTAATACAGTATGGGTTCGACCTATCGTAGATGAGAGAGTATCGTCCTGAACAGAGAAACAGACGGTTGGCTAGGTTGGCGAGAAACAAGTTTTGATCCATAAAATTAAACGGATAACACAGTAGAGAATGAGCCAATGAAAATGAAGAACCCTGGAAGTGCTTAGAATTTTAGTTCAGTATAAAAATCATCCTGACCATGTATGTCGATCGCTGTGCACACCTTGTTTGGATAATCGGAAGGCCACACAAGACATTTCACCGTTCAGTGACCATATGAGATGAGACAATTTACAGACGGAAGTGTGCAACGACAGCAACACAAAGTAACGCCTGTCATCGTAACGCAGTACAGTGCAATCACGTAGTGGTAGAAAACGAAGAAACAAGAAAGTGCATTATGTTTATCATGCAGTAGAAAGAAGATGATAGTTGGAAGCGAGAGGCAGGAATAACTTCACAAAACAAACGGCACAGAGTTCAAATCTAACCAAACGCGTCCAACGTCAATGGGTCGCCAGAGCAGGAGTAGAAATACTTCGAACTGAGAGCCGTGGTCCTTCGTGACTAAGTTGTCGGTTAGCATCTTGTTCTTTTACTCCATCCGATCGTACATAACGCATGCCGTGGGAGAAGGTGCACTGATTTGCGTAACCCATAGCCCCACCATATGAGTCACGTGGGAAACGACGATGCTGAGCGGTTTAGAGGTCATAAACAAGAAAGCGAACATGTTTATTTTTCACGCCATATGCGAACCAGACTTCGAAAGCACCGGTTGTCGAACGCAGCTGTAATCTACGTGTGTCGGTCTAATAGGTTAGTTTTCGCAACCGTACAATAAGGTTGAAGGGATGACAACACTGCAAACTCTAACATTGAGAGCGTGCGCAGGTCTCATAAATGCCGAGGATGAATAAAGGCATTAGGGGTTTTCGCTATACGGTTTATGACCTTCTATTCCACAGAATAATACAAGCCGCCCAGGTAGATGAATCTCTGAGCAACTTCCATGCCAATCGCCGAAGTAAGCATCGCATTTTGATGGCGCAAAGTGCAGCCAGATACGACTGCCAGTAAACGCTCATCTGTTAAGCTCCCGTTGGCAGGCTTGTGAGCTGTCAGACAGTTCAAGCGTATATGACGGGATAAGAAGCAGCAGCCTTACAGGACACACAGGGTGGATATGCAAAAAATTAAAGTGTTCCAACTTGGAACGTAACCTGGACATTGCACTTTGTCATACAGTTGTGTTGCGTTTATTACTTATAATAACAGTCTTCCGAATATCGCAATGTTCGGTGCGTCCGCCACATGTGTTGGTAGTGCATTCCAGGGGGAACAGATTCTAAGAGAGTAAAAATACTTTCTACAACCCAAACGAAAGTGTTGCGTTAGTTTTAGGTCGTCGCCCCGGTATTGTCCGTAAGGGGTTAGAATTAGCAGTAATTTATATGGACAATCGCTTTCTGTTAGTGCCCGGTATGTGAGAATGAGATCTCCGCGAAGTCTTCGATATTCTGAGAACATACTCACTCCACAAAGGCACAGCTCATAACTGAGACCGGATAACTCATGTGCTGCTTTAGTGGTTCTTCTTTGAGGCAGCTCCAAGAGACGAATGTCACATTTTAACCATGGATGCCAGGCCTGAACCGTATATTTAACAGGACGAATATACGAATTAATCAGCATGGGTACTAGACGTCGTTCAAAGTAATCAAGAGCTCGTCTTAAGGTCGTGTTCATCACATTTTCTGCTCTCGTACATCGGAGTGAACTTGTACGACGATACCTAAGTCCCTTTCACTAGTCACACGTTGCAGAAGCTGCTGCTGCAAAAGACGTGTTGCTACGCAGCGTCAGTAGGTGCTTGGTTGCACTGTTCATAGGGAGCCGGTTCCGATCGAGATATTTATGAAGTTAGGTACGATGAG